GAAAAGAAGCTAAGATGAGCTCTTTTAATTTTGGTGAAGCCTAAGGTATAGGTTTTGATTTTGGAAACTAGCCAGCACACTCCTTAATAAAATGAATGATACTGGTCTCACTTAGATGAAATCATTCATTTGTTCATTCACCCATTCCTCTGGGGCATCTGTGATGGGCACAAGTCTAGGTGTAAGTGACGGACACTGAAGAAAAAGAACAAAGCTTCCCATTCTAGGGGGAAAAGAGAACAAAGAAATGAATGGGTGATATTTTTAATACAACGAGGGATTCCTCAGTCTCCTTGCTCTTGCTTGATGCCTAGGCTGGAAAATTCTCCATCCTTTGTATCGCAGGATCTGCTTGGCAATTTTCCCAGAGTCTGCCTACCAGATGTCAGTTGGACCCTCCATGTGAAAATCAAAACTATCTCCAGAAACTATCATTACTACAAGTCCCTGGTGGAAGGAGGAAGGCCCAGTGTTAGAGTGAAATGTCCCAGATAAAGAAGGCAATTAGGACACAGGGTGTATGGGATTGAGTTGTAGCCTTTAAAGCGGGGCAGTAAGGAAAGGGTTCCATGAAAATGTAACCCTTGGCAAAGACTTGAAGGAAGTAAGACGGAATACCCTGGCAAGCAAGAGCTCACAAGCAACAACCTGGGGCAGGAAGCTGCCTGCTGTGTTCTGGGAACTTCAAAGAGACCGCCCAGGCTGCAATTGAGAAGCTTAAGGGGAAGATATTAAAACACAAACGGTCAGAAGAGAACTGAGAACAGAATGTATGAGGAGTATTTGGGACCACTCTTCACAACGAGACTGGAATGCCCCACAGACCAGACAGTGCTGGTTTAAATACTTGGTCACTGTGTGGCCTTAAACAGGAAGAGACCTCTTGGGCCACAGTCTCCTTGCCTGTAAAATGCTTTAAACCATTTCTGCACGATTTGAGGTAGCCCTGATAAATGGGACACTATCTACAACATAAAAAAGTCGTGCCCAAGAAATAAAAGTGATGTGGCTTAGACAAATTCTACGGGCAATGCTTGAGGATTTGAGCTATAGGAAGCTGTCGGGGGGCGGGGGGTGTTCGGAATTGAGTATACATTTAAACTATTGGCTTCTCAGCCCCTGGGTTAGTTTACATGGTGTTGAATTTTACTGCTCATGCGATGTCAGTTGAGCTGAGTTGATAGTGGTGGTCTGTAATGTCAACAGAAGTGGGAGTCTTGACATCTGTGTGACTTTGGGCCAGTGACCTCATCCCCACCCCTCCCCCATCACTGTCTGAACAACTGCAAATTGTAGATTATCAGAGAGATTAAACGGCAATGCATATTGTATATTGTAAACCCAATGTATTATATATTATAAACCCAAAAATATTTGACAGCATGCATTGTCTTGGTTTTGTTTTCTGTTCTTGTGAACAGAACAAAACAAAGCAGAACACCCTGACAATGCAACTTAAGGGAGAAAGGGTTTGTTTTGCTCACAAAGCCAGGTTACAGCTCATCACTGTAGAGAGGTCAAGTCAGCAGGAATTCAAAGTAGCTGGTCTAATTATAGCCACAGTTAAGGGAAGAAAGCAGTGAAGAAAATTAGTATTAATTAAACACACAGGCATACTGGTCCCCAGGTTGCACTCTCTCCTTTTATATAATCAAGGATTCCATGCCAGGGAATGGTGCCACTCACAATGGGCAGGCCTTCCACTAATAAGATATAACCCACACAGGCCAAGCTAATCTAGACAGCCTCTCATTTGGCGCTTTCCTTCCCATGTGATTCTAGACTATGTCCGGTTGACAATTAAAACTAACCTTGAGGAACTGGAGAAATAGTTAAGAACACTTGTTTTTCCAGAGGATGAGGGTTCAATTCCCAGAACTCACATGGCAACTCACCACTGTTTGTAACTCCAGTCCCAGGGGATCTGACACCCTCTTCTGACCTCCCAGGGCATCATTCATGCAGTACACACGAATACATGCAGAAGAAACACTCATACATGTAATAGATCTTTTTTAAAAAATTTTAAAAATTAACTATATTATTTCCATAATGAATAATGATATATTATGACTAATAGTCTTGCCTAAGTTGTAATAGCTCATGAAAATCAGAAATCATTCCATTCCTCTAACTGAAACACTTTTCTGGTTTGAGACATTATTTTATCCTGGGTTTCCAGAAACTACCAAGGAGAAGAAGGCCAAAATCTGATCTAGGAGCACGGTTGTCATATTTCACCTTCCGTGACTGGAGGAAGTGATCGGGATGGGTAGCCATGCAGAGTCTCCTATGGGCTCCTGGAAGCTCGCACCCTGGGCAGTGTGAGAATCTCAAGTAGAAGCAAAAGGGCTCCTCCCTTCCCGTCCATCCCTCCATCCCTCCATCCCTCCATCCCTCTATCCCTCCATCCCTCCATCCTGCCTGCATGATCAGAGACGGCTCAGGGGACAAAGTGCTTTCTTTCCACAGGAGCCTAACAACCGAATTCAATCCCGGATCCATGTAAAAGCTGAATTGTGTAGCATGCGTCTGTAGTACCACACCCTATGAGAAACAAGAGGGAGGCCAAGAGAATTGCTTACAAGTTCCTGGGCCAGCTAGCCTGGAGGATGCAGCCACAGTAACAAGAGAGGCCCAGTCTCAAAGGCAAGGCAGACTGCGAGGACCAGTTCCTGAGAGATGTCCTCTGACCTCGACATGCACACCAAGACACAAGCCCACACTCACACCCAGACCCACAGCCCACACACACTCAAAAGTGAAACTGTGAGATACTTACAATGTACAAAATGTAAAACCACAGACACCACAATTACCCATAACTAAGGATGCTGGGCAGATACATTGGAAAACCTGAATAAATATTATGGGAGGCACACCCAATGACAGGGCCCAGCTGCTTGGTTATAAGGAGCCACCTCTTCTTATACAAGAAAAACAAGACAGACATCCATGTCTCGCTTATAAAAAATTTTCAAGATGTACAAAATGTAAAACCACAGACACCACAATTACCCATAACTAAGGATGCTGGGCAGATACATTGGAAAACCTGAATAAATATTATGGGAGGCACACCCAATGACAGGGCCCAGCTGCTCGGTTATAAGGAGCCACCTCTGTCTGTCCTCTTCTTATACAAGAAAAACAAGACAGACAGCCATGTCTCACTTATAAAAAATTTTCAAAAAATGTATTTATTTATATGTATGTATATGATGGTGTGTGTTTATGTATGCTACATGCATGCAGGCGCCCACAGAAAAAGGTGTTGGATCCCCTGGAACTAGAGTTACAGGCCCTGTGTGTGCTGGGAACTGAACCAAGGTCCTCTCCAGTCCCCATTTGAAGTTTTCATTCCCTCTGTTCATCTACTCAGTATTTAAATAGTACAGAGTTATTAGATGTCTTTTGTGACTCATTGCCTGTGGTGGTTTGAAAGAAAATGGTCCCCAAAGGGAGTGGCACTATTAGGAGGTGTGGCCTTGTTGGAGGAAATGTGTCACTGTGGAGACGGATTTTGAGGTCTCATATGTGTTGAAGATACCACCCAGTGCCTCAGACTACTTCCTGTTGCCTGCACAAGATGTAGAACTCTCGGATACCTCTCCAGGACCATATCTCCCTGCATGCGACCATGTCCTACCATAATGATAATGGACACCACAGTCAGATGTTTCCCTGTTTAAGAGTTTCCATGGCCATGGTATCTCTTCACGGCAATAGAAACCCTAATCAAGACTCTTCCCTTGATACATAGGAAACAGCATGGGTCAAGATAAATAAAGCTTCTGTCTTTGTAGAGATGTTGGTCTGGTGGCCTGTAAGGACAAAGGCTGAGATGGATGAAGTTAGTGAAGACGTTGGGACATTAGAGGGTAAAAGGGCAGAGATGTGGGATGGGAACTTTAGCTGGAGTTTTAGGGATGGGCCCTTGGAAGAGGCACCACTTAAGACCGGGAGGGTAGGGGCTGGAGAGATGGCTAAGACCATAACAGCTCACACTGCTCTTGGAGCAGACCCCATTTGGGTTGCCAGCAGTCAACATCAGGCAGTTCATAACCACCTGTAACTCCAGGGCCAGGTTATCTGTCGCCCTCTTCTGGCCTCCATGGGCACCTGCACTCACACACACACACACACACACACACACACACCACACACGCACGCACGCACGCACGCACGCACGCACGCACTCGTGCACACACACACACACACACACACAACTAATTTTTAAAACATTCTAAAAGAAGATGTGGAGAATGAATGAGAATTACCTACAGTCACCCAGAGGGGCAGAAGAAATTAGCCCAGGAAGAATGGAGAGAGAGGAATCAGAGGTGTGAGAACTGAGAGAGAGCCACACCAAGAATGACACTGAGGAGGCAAAGTCAGAGTTTGGGCCTGACTCTAAAGCCATGAGAGGGCAGTGGAGGTTGGTAAGATGAGAAGCACAAAGCTGTGGAGTGAGAGAGGCTGTCAGGACACAGGAAACAGTGTCTCAGCTCAGGGTCATGGTAAAAATGGGACAAGGAAAGAAACCCACTCCACCAACAAACCCCCAGAGTAGTTACTGGGGAAATGACTTGTTACTGCTGTTGATGGTGACAGTTTGCTCTGAGAAATCCCACAGAGCCATGGCTAGCCCAGCACACAGATCATCAGACAGAGACCATAAAGATGAAAAGCCTTGGCTTCCCTGACAACCTCCTTGCAGACTCAGAGAAAAGGGGTTTTGTTTTGGACGTGATATGCACTGCTCAGTTTGTTACCCTCTGGCCCCAAACAATGTCCCTCCTACCAAGTGCGATGACTGCTGGCAAGAGGAGGAAGGGAAGAGAGAAGGGCTCTCATAAACTCCCCATTGTCCTGCATGGCCGTGGGCAGAAGAGCTATGGCTGGAATTAAGGGATAAGGAAGAGAGGGGTGGAATAAAAGGAAGACTGGGGGTCCATATCCAAGGAGCTGAGACTGTGAAAACTCTGTTTTGTTCCCAGGACATAGTTGACAGCGAGGAGAGAGGACAAGAAGTTGACACTCTGAGTTATTCTGTCCCTGGGGATCCAGAGGTGCTGGGGACCAAGAAGGAGGACGCCCAGGTGGTAGAAACCACAGAGAATAGTAACTCCATCATGAGCTTCTTCAAGACCCTCGTAAGTAGTGTTCTCTGTTTCTCTTCCTTAATTTCATTGTCCTGGTGTCTAAGGATACTTGAATGTTGTGATAGCAAGATTATCATCAAGGCCACGTAAATGTTCTTTCTAAGGAAACTGTTCAGTGACAAAGCTTCAGAGAAGGAGGCCATTATAACAACAATGGGGGGATCTTAACTGTGGGGTATGAGCCGGGGTGCAATGGAATCCACAAGTGACTGCTCCCAAATGCTGGGTAGTATGCAAATGTCAGTCTTGACTTCAACAGGTAAAGTGAAAAGAAAAAACAGTCAATAGGATGTGTCACAGGTATTGTGTTTCTAGTAGTGAGGAGACACCTAATGGCCTTCTGGGAGGTGATTTTTGAATGTGATCAAACTCTTGATGGATGTGTAAGATCTGATACATTTCAGAATAAAATACTGATTTCGTAAATTGCTTATTACCTAGAGGTGTTCATGTCTCTATTTGGTCAAAGTTGCTTTTCATTTCAATTTTTGGTGTGATAAACTAGACCATGCTGAAGAATTGTCTCTATGAAATAAAAGTCATGTCTCTATGAAGTACAAGTCACCCTCTAGAGCTGATTTATTTGGGGGAGAGGTGTTGGGACAGGGTTCCTCTGTATAACAGCCCTAGATGCCCTAGATCTCACTCTGTAGATCAGGCTGGCCTCAAACTCACAGAGATCAGCCTGCCTCTGCCTCCCGAGTGCTGGGATTAAAGGCGTGCGCCACCACTGCCACCACCACTCTGATAAAGCTGATTTTTAACATTTGCATTTCTTTCACTTTTCAGGTTTCACCTAACAAAACTGAACCAAAAAAGGATCCAGAAGACACGGTAGGTGCCCTGAAGTTCATATGTGTCTGGGTTTACGAACAGAATTTGGTTTTGATTTGCATATGTATCTTGAATGATGTACACATCATGAATATTACATGTTACATATGCACATTTATGAATCTACTTAGAAACCTAATAGTGCTGTTAGATTGTCCTTAGAGTGCTTCAGTTAACACTGTGGTTTGTTTGGTTGGGTTCTGCAGTGCTGGGAACTGGATCCAGGGCCTCTTGCCTGGTAGGCAAGGCTCTACCCACTTAGCTACAATCCCCTGCCCTGTTTAATGGTGTGATAATAAACATTTTAATGGGATGCTTGAAAGATTGCTAGCTCTGGCTGAAGAATGTCACAATACCCAGTTGCTAAATATGCAGTAGATACGAATTACTAATACACCGTCATTGTCTTTTTTTCATTGAGCTTTGAATGGAAAATGAGGGAATTCATTAAAAAAAAAAAAGACTTCCTCTGAGGTGGAAGACTGAAGGTGCAGCCCTGGGGGTGTTAATGTGTTTTCCATTTTCATATAATTTGAAAAGGAGATCTCCACCGCAAAGCAATGTTGAACTAAAATAGTTGCCGTGGGACACCTGCCCAGTGAAAGGCTAGGTAGAGTGTGGACCCTGCTGAGCCTGGAGGTTTACAGGCTGGAAGTGTAGACCGTTCCTCTCCAAGTAAACTTGGGATGAAATGATCACCTTCTTAGGGATGCTTTTCCTTCCATGTGACAGGACTGATGGCCTGAAATGGAACACATGGTTTAAATTTCTCAGAAACTGTGATACCGTTTAAGCTGGAGAGAGATACCTGTCCCCTGGAAGTGCTTTGACAGGGATGGGGGTACAATAGCTGGCTTAGCCAGCCCCACTCATCTGCTGCTTAGGCTTTTAGGAGTTAAGCCGTAGCAGAGGTGGGGGGTGCACCCTTTATCCCATCCCAGAGAGCTTGTGTTTGAGCTGCAGGTCACTGATGTGGTAGCTGTGAGATCCTAACTTAAGATTGCCACATCTGTAAAATTGGCCCAGGGTTGAGGGAAGAGGATTCGATGGCTTGCAAACCATGGAGCTTTGTTCGAATGTAGTCAACCCTATTTCCAAAGCACATAGTGGATTGATCGGTTCCTCTAGAGTTTTCTTCTCCCATTGAAAAACAGATTCCTTAAAATTACTCATTTGCTACGAGGCAGCTAAGGTCAACTTCAATGAATGGTTGAGTCAAGATGCTTGTTTCTGTTTTTCAATTCTTGGAGCCCCATGCTCAGCACACTGGGCTGTCAACAGTAGAGGATGTGGGTGTGTTGGGTGGCTTCCCAAGTGACCCAGTTCGCTCTTTCTATTTAGCTGGTCCATGTACCAAGACCCATCTACAAAGCAGATGTGGTCCTTGCTGGGCATACCTTGTTGATAAAATCTCATTGAACCATCCAATGGGCTGAGAAGTCGCTACTGGGAACTGGCGTTTTAGATGAGGGATTATGAGTACAGACTGTTTCTTAGGAATAGGCCTCTCTGTTCTATATTTGTCTTTGGGGCATCTTTTTCTTCTGAAGTTTGCAAAGTGCTTTTGAAAAGTCTCCATTTCTGTCACACTTGACCCTGAGTCTTTTTTAATGTATACTTTTATTTCCTTATTTTTATATATTTATTTTATGTGTATGGGTGTTTTGTCTACATGCATACAGTGTCCATGGAGATCAAAAGAGGTCATCTGATCCTCTGGAATGGGAGTTATAGCAGGTCATCAGCCACCACGTGGGTTCTGGGAACTGAACCTGGGTCCTCTGGAAGAGCAGTCAGTGCTCTTAGCAGCTGAGCCATCTCTCCAGGCCCTACATACTTCACGTAAAACTTCACAATATTTGTACCTTGAGTCAACAGTTTGTAGTGATTGTAGTAGAGTTACTTTTATTCCTGTCTCCTCCCATTTTGGCTCAATGAATTGGTTCACACCAGAAACTTCCTTTACCTGGAAAATCTGCCCATACCAAAGTCACTTGAAACACTGTGGATGATATTATTTATGCGAAGGGTCAACTTCAGATTCAAAAGAAATTGGTGTGAGGATGAAAGTCATTTGGTGGTAACATGTAGCCAAGAAAACAGAATCAGGACACGAAACATCTCTTGTCAACTGGTGGTTTATTGTTTTCCTTTCCCAGGTGACAGTGGCGTTTACATATTTAAAGCTGTTAGACAAGACTCTAGTGTTCTCCTTTTGGATTTGGTTATGTTTCATTTCATGTTTTAAGTCACATAGTCAGAGCTTAAACAGCCTGTCCCCATCTTAAGCAAACAGGGATGAGGGGAGTTGTTTTTGCCAGATTGGGAATGGGGTTCTGAGATGTGTTGATTTGGGACATTTGCTTAGGTGACCCTTTTAAAAACCAATGTGTGCCTGAAATTGACTGTGAATATACCATTTAGTGAATCATTTTTGAGAACCTTTAAAAGATAAGTATTCCCATGGTGCTTTGTGGTTGGGAGATGAGTGACACACCAGTAATTAGCTGTCACAGTGTCTGAATATCCTTTGAAACAGAAAAGAACAAGTGGGTTTGTTTAAAAGGAAATTTCTAAGCTGTGCCTGCTGTTGTCCAGAAGGCAACCAAGGCAGACAATGTCTGCGATGGACACGCTGGCCAGAAGATGGTGGAGACGCAGGCTAAGAGCAAGAAGAAACGCCTGGACAGCCCCAGGCTAGGACTGGCCTTTAGGAAGTTCTTTAGGCATAAGGTCTGTATGTCCTCTGCTAGGAGGAACAGGGCCCTGCTCCTCACCTGAAGCCTAGAGTCCAGTGCCCACCAGCTCTCAGAAGGAATCCCTAGCCTTGGGTGGCTATAGTCACCAGGGGGAATTTGAAGATGCTGAGGCTTGAACTTCAGGCATTTATGTTCCCATAGCTATAAACATTTCAGATTGGTTTCTTCCAAGTGTGGACCAGGGTTCTGAAATTCTTACCCAGTGTTTCCCAAATGACAGTCAACGGCATACACCTTTACCACTTTACTTAACTATACTATTAATCATTTGATATTTTTATACTAAAATTGACTATTCCTACTTAAACGTGCCTGTCCAAAAAAAAAAAAAAGCCTTTGTATTCATTCATGTGTGGAGACCAGAATGATTCTTCCTAACAGAAAAATGACCATTAATGTGGCTCATGTCTGAAGAGCTTGGAATCCAGTGTCCTCCCGGCTCTTCTTAGGAAGGAATTGGCTGGTGGTGGAGACTGCTAAAGCCATTCGGAAGACGGGCCTGAACATTATTAAATGCCTCAAGAGTTAGAGAAGGAAAAGCTTGCTATTTGAGTTGTGGTATGCCACCGACTGCTTGGGAAATTCTCTTCTAACCTCAAGATAATAATATTACTTTCCTGCCACCCACCTTCCCTGTTTCCCCTGTTGACTGAGTTTATACGGAGCCCACATAGATGCCAAGCAGAAGAAAAGCAGTGAACGATGGCACAGCCAGTCTATCAAAGTGGATGGCACAGTCAATCACAGTGCATGGCAGAGCCAATCACTATGGATGACATGATCTCAGCTTTGGAGACAAACTCTTCATGCATGAAGAAAGACAGTGCACATCCAAACCCTCCAGTTCCAAGGTGGCTTGGCATAGATGAGACTTCAAAGCCTATCCCTATAGTGACCCTTCCTCCAACAAGGCCCCTCCAACAAAGCTGTATTCAGTGACAACACATACAAACCAGAGGCCAGACATTGCTTTAAAGGGTTTGGCCAATGCCCATCCTCTCAGTGAGGCAGCTGCAGGGTGTTTTGTTTTGTTTGTTTTGTTTTTAATTAGAAGCCAGCAGTGGGCTCTTCTACTTTTCACATAGCCATTGCTTTGGGTTCTTGTTCTGATGTTTGTGCCTTACTGAGACCTCCTGTATCCCACATCCAGAAATAAAATCAAGGGGTGATGTATTTATTAAGAAAATAGTCCCCAGAACTGTGGTTAGTCCTATGGATAGGGTCACCAGGTAGAACAGAGCATGCACAGTGAAATTCAGACTTCAGATACACAAGAAATAATTTTATGTTGTCTTGAAATCCATTCTTTATATAGTAAATTATTAAGAAAAAGAAGTTATTTTAGTATAAATTTCATATAAGAGATAGATAGATAGATAGATAGATAGATAGATAGATAGATAGATAGATAGATAGATAGATAGTTTTTCGAGACAGGGTTTCTCTGTATTGCTTTGGAGCCTGTCCTGGAACTCACTCTGTAGACCAGGCTGTCCTCAGAGATCCGCCTGTCTCCACCTCCCAAGTGCTGGGATTAAAGGCGTGAGCCACCAACGCCTGGCAAATTCAGTATATTTCATGCAATATTTGGGACATACTTATGCTAGAAAAATTATTATTTGCCAATTTGAAATTCAAACTTAATGGGACATTCCTTTTTTAAAAAATTACACGTGTATGTAACGTGTGTGTGTGTGTGTGTGTGTGTGTGTGTGTGTGTGTGTGTGTACACGTGTGAATGCAGGTGCCTGGGGAGTCCAGAAAGAGGGCATTGGTCCCCTGGAGCTGGAGTTACAGGTGGTTTTGAGCTTCCTCTTATGGATGCTGGGAACCAAACTTCGATCCTTTGCAAAAGCAGGATGCTCCCCCTAACCACTGAGCCACCCTTCCTACATCGTCATTTTCGGTTGCAGTCTGGTAACCCTCTAGAGTAGCTTGCCTCTGAGTCAAACTGGAACCCTTACTGTCTCCTACAGCATCCAGAGAAAGGATACTAAATTATCTAACGGGGGTGGGGGCAGAATGCCATTGTGAGCTTTCCCTGGGAAGTAAGAAGGTGGCCTGGCAGGGAGCAGATACGCAGGCGGCCACAGCATTGCTGGGACTCTGTCCCAGGAATCCCCTGAGTGGATGGAAACTGGCCATGGCGGGATCTGGTCCTGCCGCCTCTCTTACTGTTCCTCCACCCCGTCTCAGTTTAGGGGTAGCCGGATCACTGGCCCCAGTTTCCTTATCTGAAAATGTAAACATTGGAAAGATGGCTTTTAAGACAGTGTCGTGGTGCACACCTGTAATCCCAGAGCTCTGGAGGCTGGGGAGAGGAATAACTCAGAGCTACTATCAAAGTCCTTTTAAAACAACCCAACAACCAAAAAGAATCAAGAACCAAAAGTATTTTGAAATTCTAAATATATTTTGGTCCATTTTTATTGTCAGGTAGATTTTTTTTTTCTTTTGGTCAGAAATCATCGTCTGAGAATTTAAAGGGATTGTGTCATTGAGTCCAGAGAGCAAAGGAAAGAAAATGAAGATGCTTAAGATAATGACATGGGTTGGAAGAGCCTGATATTAAAACTTGACTTGGACTTTGTGAGTCTTTATCCAGTGGCTCGGGGAAAGCAGAGACGAGGAATTAACAGGGATTCACAGAAGGAGTAAAGGATGTGTTAAAGCGAGTGGATTGGTGCACAGCTGTGTCCCCAGCACTTAGGTGAGAGGGGGTGTGGGGGGAGTGGTAGAAGCAAGATGATCAAGAGTTCAAGGTCATCCTTGGCTGCACAGGGAGCTGAGGCCAGCCTGGGCTACATGAGGCCCTTTGGGGAAAGAGAAGAAAAGGTAGAGAGGAAAGAAAAGAGAAAAGAAAGGATGTGAGGGGAAAGGGGGCTAAAAAACGTCAGATACCTTGGACCTGGACTTCAGCACAGCCTGTGGGGGCAGTGAGAAGGGGTGGGGTGGAGGTGCAGGGAGGCAGAGGGAGGAGGAGCCAGGACAGATGGTTGCATTTGAAGAGGTTATGTGTGGGGTGTGGAGGTTGTGTCTGAAGTGCAGGAGTGGGCTCTGTGGACCTCCATCGGCTCCTAGCCTGCTCTCTGCCTTCTCGGGGGCCTGGATCTCCAAAGCGGGATATGGAAGAAAATTTTCAGAACTCTGTGGCCTATATATTTATCTCCTTAATTTCCAATTTGGCTTGGCAAAAAAAACCAAAATTGATCGTGTTTATAAAATAAATACAAGCCGTTGTGCATATTCAGAATATTTCCATGGATGGGAGCCAGGCCAAAACTGGTTGAAGACAAAGGGCCTGGATAAAAAGCAAACAACATATTTTTCTCTGACTTCTTTTTTTTCCTTCCTTTCTTCTTTTTCACACTGATTGAGTGTGTGTGTGTGTGTGTGTGTGTGTGTGTGTGTGTGCATGCTCGCACAAGCTCGAGCAAGCGTGTATGTATACATATGTGAGCACATACATATAGACACATGGAACCACAGCACACATGTGCAGGTCAGAGAACAACTTGCAGGAGTCAGTTCTATCCTGCCACTATGTGGGTTTCAGGGATTGAACTCGTGTCATCAGACTTGGAGGCAAACCCCTTTACCCACTGAGCCAAGAGCCAGCCCAGAGAACTCCATCTTCTAATAACTTAACCCCTCTCCCCGAAGCCTGCCCCTACAAACTTACATATGTAAGCATCATCACTAACAAGTCTCCCCCTTTTTTTCTTTCTCAAAAGGAAAATATCTGGAAAAAAATATATATATATGTATATATATATATATATGTTAACACAAAATTACAGTCACAGTGGAAATTTGCATAAAGCAAAATTTAGAAAGAAAAAAAGTTAACCTCATGCATGTCCCTAGCCTGTGCTTATTTTAACAGAGAATCTTTTACTCATGAAACCGTGAAATTATTTTGAATTTTTCACTTTTCTTTTTACAAACAAAACTTTATAGGATGCTGAAAATTCACCTGCTACTTCAGCCAGTCTCAAGTCCGATCAAGCGCAGGAGACCCAAGGGGCCACCAAGAGCTCAAAAGGCTGCAGCCCCCCAAGCCATGTACCACCTGCAACAGCCAGTGACACCGCAAAAGAAGGAAGCAAGGATAAGCAGGGGCCCACCGCCTTGCCTCTGGGAAAGCTGTTTTGGAAGAAGGTAAGTCTGGCCGTGAGGCATCTGCAGGGTCCTTGGGGCTGAGGTGACTCAGGAATCATCTCCAGTGGGCAGGAGGACGTTGACTCTCAGGAGTTATTGTCCTCTTCCTCCATGATCCAACTTGCCATTGAGTTGAGGACCCCTAATGTACACCTGGGCGGAAGGAAATGCCAGTCATACTAAACACGGGTGCTTTGTGGGGGAGAAAGGGTTGTGAACAAGTGACGACAGTTTTCATTTTTTGAATGACTAGAGATAGTGACAGAGGGCTGTGGTGTGTCGTGACTATATTGTCCCTCTGCAATGGTCGATAACCCTGGCTTCCTCAGCACACACCCTCCTTGAGGAGAGGACCCCCTCTTGTCTTCACCTCTCCCAGTCCAGACACAGCCCTGGTGAGCTGATTCTTCATCCCCATTTCAGAAGATAAGGGTAACTACCAGACTGCCAGCAGGGAGCGTAGTCT